CAATTTAAGCAATGTTTTACACACCCTAATTAAGCAAGATTTATCTTGCTTAAATTAAGCAATATTGTTTAATTAGACATTGCTTAATTAAGCTTGAAAGTTAATTAAGCTCTCTGGGTCCTGGAAGAGCTGCGTCACATGGATGCGCCGGTCTTGAGAAAGCTGGAGAACTGCCTCGACAGGATAGCTGCCGAGAGAATGTTGCCCGGCAGGACCTGAGCCACGACAGTGAAGAGATACGTCAGCTAGTATCGTCAGTGGCGCCAGTGGTTGCAGGAAGCAAAGAGCGTCAGCATGCCCGGCACGGAAGCCAACCTGATCGACTATCTTATGGCTCGTTGGGAGGAGCCCTGTGGTCGAACCATAGGGAAAGTTCTTCTGAAGACTGCAGTTACCTGGATGGAGCGAGTGGCGGTCCAAAAGAGAGCACCGAGGTGTCCGGTGTTCCTCTTGGCCACCATCGAAAGGTACGTCATGGACGAGAGTGAGCCGGCGATATGGCGAGTCCTGGCCTGGTCCAAGCTGGTGAAGGTTTGGGCGTGCCTTCGTTGGGACGACTTGCAGGAGATCAAGCCGGCAGAGCTCACCTTCGCTGATGGAAGGCTTACAACCATTTTTCGTAAGACAAAAACATCAGGTCCAAATCGTCGAGGGAAGGAGCTTCCAGTCTGCGTCGGTGAAAGGGCGTTCTTCTTGGACTGCCGTTGGTTGGGATGGGGCTTCGAGAGCCTTAAGACCCTGGCGGCCTTCGACAGAGATTACCTCATCCCGCAACTGGGCGCGGCAGGCAACAGATTCATACGCAAAATGGCCATGCGGTCGGTTACACGGCAGGAGTCCTGTGGGTTGCGATAGTGGCTTCATCGGTTTTTGGACCGAGCATTCGGAACGTTCAGTCCTTCCGACAGGTCTGGCCATGCTTGACAATGACAAGGCAGAGAGAGACCTCTTGAAAAGGTGGAAACCCGAAGGGTCGGATGTCTACGCCAGGACTTTCAACGGAAGGGTAGCAAAGTTGCAGCGCCAGTTCGCGGAGGCAGCCCTCAGGACGTCTTAGGTGCCGGTCCAGCTGGGGGAATTCCTCTCCGACAGGCGCAGGTTGGCAACGGCAAGTGCCTTTTCGCTAGCCTCCCGCCAGGGCCTGATCTGGAAGAAGCCGATAGGTCCATGACTATGTGCCCCTAGTCGTGGAGGAAGAGGACCCCGATGCAGGGGCCGGAGTCGGCAGCGATAGTGAAGCTGCCGGCAGGGAGGAGGATCAGGCGGGAGAGAAGCAGCCTAAGCTTGCCAAGAGGTCGAGCCGATATGTAGTCGTGTGTTTGAAGGGAGGAATTTTCAGACTGCATAGGGCAGGCGCCAGCGGGTGTTGGATGGGCCGGCAGAGAGCCTTCAGGGAAGCTAGAGAATTCAGAGTACACCCATGTCTGCAAGTTGTGCTGGCCCAGCTCGGCTGGGGCGGAAGGCTCTTCGGCAGTCATGGAAGATGGGGGTACTCCCCAGGCGTCTCCGTCAGGGCCGATAGGCTGTCCAACGAGCAAGACAGCATGCCGCATGAATCGGTAGGCTTTGGGGGAGACCCCTGGTACTTAGCGCCAGGGGCAAGCACCTTGCAGACAACACCGACAGATTTAGTTTGAAATTTTCCCTTGCGTGTTTTCCAATTTTGTGGCGGAAGCTTTCTCCCGGCAGTGGTCGCAAGGCATGTGGTGCAGGATCGGTTGCATGGCTCAAACTATACGTCAGCAAGCAAACCGGCATGCGGAACCCACATGTTGCTTGATTTTGGGAAGTTTTTCTCGGAAGCCACGAAAGAGGGGAGAGAGCGTCAGCAAGGGACAAGAGGCATGAGCGACAGAGAGGCACTCGGGAAGGTCATGCCAGGTCGGAGGCGGTCCCAGTCATGTTGTAGGCAGCGACAGTTGTGAAACCTTTCTCTGTGGACCGAAACCCGACAGTCATGTCAGTTGTTCCTGCGCCTTGCCGACAGTTCCGTCAGTCATGTCTGTGGTGAGCTTGCCATGTCCTTTCCGCAAGTAGAGTTGATAGGCCAGGGAGACCGACAGTCAACATGCAGTCGGACATGTGCAACTTGCGACAGATTTCTGGAGTGTGCTGCGACATGTCGACAGTTTGTTGCAACAGGGTTCGATGCGGTGAGCATCAACGGAAACGACAGTATCCTCCCCAGGCCTTTTCTAGGTTCAAGAGCACTTTGGAGCCCTGGGGAGTGGTGGGCGAATACTCCCCCATTCGTAATGCGCCAGAGCGACAGCGACAGACAACTTCGCCGCCGACAGACTCGTCAGAGGAGGTGCCAGGCGTCATTGACGCGGTTCGGCAACTTCTGGCAGAACTTCGAGTACGTCGCGGGCATCCTCCACGGGGCGGCGCACCGAGAGCAACTGGTCTGGCAGACACCGAAGGTGGCGGCAGGCAATGGCACGCCAGTAATAAGGCTCCGCCAAGGGAGCCTTCTCCGTCAAGACCGTCAGCGCCATCGACCAGCAAGGACCCAAGGCGACCAGTCGACAGGGGCCTCGTCATCGACACAGACGGCGAGCCAGCCGCCAGTCGTCACGTCAGATATGATTCCTCCGAACGTGACGGCAGTGTCCTGGGATGGCGAGGATGCTGGACGCCAGGCTTGCTGCGGCAGGGAGTACCGGATCGACAACGACAACGGCAGAGGAGCAGCGACGACAGGGGTGGCAGTGAGCAGACAGCACCGGCAGCGCCAGCGGGCAGAGGGGCAGCCAAAGGCCCAGTCAAAAGCGGCCAATAGGCGGCCCCATCCGCCACCGTCAGAGGATCTGGACGACAGATTGACCGCGCCAGTGGAGGCGCCAGAATTAACCTATTCCGTCATTGAGGCTTTTGACAGTGCCTCGCAGGTGCCGACATAGAGGATGAGTTTTCATCCAGACGGCGCCGCGACAACTATATTTTCCCCAGATCAACCAGACGTGGATCCACGAGCTGAGGGGGGCGTTAGACCTGCCGCCGCAAGGGAAGGGCAAGTCGAAAGGCGACAGCAGCGACACGACACCAAGGAGACCGACACCGACAGTCAGGACTAGCTTCCCGCCAGCGCAGGAAGCCCTCGTCATCGACAGCAAGGCCCCTGGCGGCCCAGACGCCCGTCAGCCAGCGCACCGAGGAGATCGCCAGGATACCGACAGAGCGCTTCATTAGGTGGGAAGCCAGTATCTGCGGTAGAGGAAGGTGGGACGTTAGGAATCAGACGTTCCGCTGCATCGTAAGATGCCCTGCGAGAGACATCCTGCCAGGAAACCCCGGCAGTGTTACGTGTTCCGGAGTCTGTAACGACGAATGTCGGAACAGATCGACGGGCACGATAAGCATCTTTGCGGCAGACATAAGCAGATGCGCCAGGAAGGCAAAGCCATCTGGCTGCCGCCAGGTTACCCAACACACCTGTAGGGTGTCGGGGCGACATCGACAGTTGTGCTCGCCAGACTTGTTCCGACAGCGAAAGAAAAGAGGGACAGCCACTCTGCTCAGCCTGGGGGAGCCGGGAGTTGGGCAAGGGAAAATGGGAAAGTCCGACAGGGTCAGCAAGCAGGAGAGCGCTAGACATAAACAGGGAGTGCGTGCGCAATTCCGTCAGCCATTTTCCGCGAAAGTTTCTGTCCATTTTTTCCGATACCCGAAAGGGATGCGTCCCAACCGACAGTTTTCTTCCGAAAGCCTTCCGTTGGGCCAGCCGAGATGGTTCCTGGGGATTGGCGGGGGGAGGTGGAAGAAAGGTCACAGGGGAAAAACGACAGGGGCGCTAGACATAAACAGGCGAGTGCCTGCGACAGTCATGTCAGTCATGTCGTTTGCATCCGCGCCAGAAGAAGACAGAGAGATGATTTCCTTTTTCGGAAGGCGCAGGGCCAGATTTTGTCAAGCAAGAATTTTGAGAATTAGTTTGCGAAATCGACAGACATGGCGGCAGATCCAGCCAAGCTTGCGAAAGGCTCGACAGACTTGCGGTACCTGTTGCAGACCCATGGCATAAAGGATGTCAATCAGGCAACACTGTTTGACTCCGGCATCGACACGGTAGCTAAGTATGCTGCCTTTGCCGCCACGGAAGACGACCTCACTCAGGTCCCGAAGGCCCACTTTACGCGAGACCCGGCAGCTAGCCTGGCAAACCGGGCGCAAGTGGCATCCTTCGTAGTGGCATGGCAAACCGCCAGGGTCAGGATAAAGCGTCATGCGGAAGTTGAAGCCGCCAGTGAAACCAGAGAATGGGCGAAGCCTATTCAGCCGTCAGAGTATGTGGCCATCCGAAAGGCGTTCGTGGCCAAACATGGGGAGATTGAGGACAAGGTTACGCCAGCGAAAGAATACCTCGAAAAGAAACTGCATGAACTGGAAGGTGGGGAATTCCAGGCAGAGACGCTAGGAGAAGTCGTCAGTAGAGATGAGGTTGACCCAGACACCATGCTGCCCGTCTGGGATTCGAAACGAAGCCTCACCGTCAAGAAGGCGTCATCGTCAGTCAGCATGCCGACAGGTCCAGAGCAGTTCCGGTATAGGATGACCATCACGCAGAATGCGCTCCTCATGATGGTCCTCAAGCACCCCGACAGGCCAGAGCTCAAGGGCATCGACAAGGACCTCTTCGACAGGTGCAAGGACTATATCCTTGGAGAGTATGTCTATGGGCTGCGGTCCTCGGAAGAGAGCAGCAGTCACGCCCCTCCGTGGACTAGTGCTCAGTTATGAGCATGCCGTCAGGAAGTGGGCTTGCAAGCAGATGGCCCAGCGGTCAGTCTCCTTCTCCGACAGTCTTCGAGAGTCTTGGAAGGAACCGGCAGTGAAAGAGCGACACTTCACGACACCCTTGGCTCTGTATGCCAAGAGGCCGCCACCTCCGCCAGCTAACCCTTGGAAAGGGGGTAAGGGAGGCAGAAAAGAAGGAAAGAAAGGTGGTGGAAAGGCGCCAGGCAACAGCAAGCCGAAGGGAGCCAACAAATAACGGCAGATGGGAAACCGATATGTTTCCGTTTCCAATCGAAAGGTGGCTGCCGCAAGGGGGCCAAGTGCCACTTCGCCCATGTGTGTTGCCACTGTTTTGGCAATCATGCAGGGCATGCGTGCAAGACGGTGTCGGCAGGTGCCAAGAACGTTGATGCGACAGCCGACGCCCAGGGCGCGGCCTGACCCCGTTACGACAGTGGCGACAGCGACAGTTTTCGCGTTCTCTACCTCTTCTCGGGCAAGCCGCGAAAAGGCGACATGAAACAGGGGATAGCCAAGCTCGCCAAGGCGAAAGGCAAGATCGTCACGGTGGAGCGTGTCGACGTCCAGGTGGGCAACAAGATGGACCTCTCCTACGCCAAGATCCGACAGAAGTACCTGGACGCTATAAAGTCTGGTGTGTACCAGGCTATCTTGATTAGTCCGCCATGTTCGACATTTTCCAGGGCTTGTAAGGCTTGTTGGAGGAACTTCAAGGGCCCTCGACCCGTCAGAAGCTTCAAATTTCCAAGGGGGCTTCGGATCCTGACAGCGGTAGAACGTCGAAAGTGCAACCTCGGCAACACCTTTGCAGATTGGTCGTGCGCATCGCGGCAGACATCGACACGCGGACTGGACTTGTCCATGAGT